GCAAATAAAGACGTAATAAATTTCCTTCAAATAGTTCATAAGTTAAGAGAAAATTTAAAAAGTATGAAAAATTATCTATAATTTTATATGTATTTCATGCAAAAGAATATAAAAGAATATTACATATACATAAAAAAATTTATTTTATTTTAAATTAAAATTTATACAATACATATAATGATATATAAAATTATAAATAAACTTTTGTTTCAGATTTTTGGGACTCATATGTACCTGAATATATACATATGTGCAAATATATGTATATTGATATATACCATTTATAAATTCAGAAATGTCTGTATTTACTCACATCTTGATAATAAAAAAAAAAAAAATTTTAGAGAAGTGTTTAAAAATACGTTTTAAAGAAGCCAGTTAGCTAAATTCAAGCTAAATTCATTTTGAATTTTAATTTTGTTTCTACAGTATTTTATTCCTATTATGTAAAATTAAAAATTAATGTGTTTTCAATATTTTTGTTTTATTTTGAAACTGTAGTTTGATGAAATACTATCGAATAAAACAAAAAAGTATTTCGAAATAAGCTTCCTATATTTTAAAATAATTTCTTTAAAAAAATTGATACGATAATTTTTTACAATAATATCGAATTTTTCATTTTTACAAAATATTTTTAACTTCAAAATCAGAGTTTACAAAAAAAAACCAAAATTTTTGTTATAATTGATTTATGTATAAATTTTTCAGAAACTTTTTCAAGTTTTTGTAATTTAACTTTTTGTGAAATGCGCGAAAATGATTTCTGAACTTATAAGCAGTAGTGCATATATTTATATACTTTTTCACATACACACACAATATTATATGCATACACACGCATATACATTCTCTTAGATCTGGAATCAGGAATTAGCAAATATTATGCAAACGTGGGTCTCTCAATGCAATTACAATCATGATGCATGCAGAGATATAGATACGTACCGATTTATACATTCACGTATAACTATAAATTAAATGTACGATTTATTAATTTATTTATTATTTTAATTTAAATGTATATACAGATAAATTTCAAGTTGGTTAGAATATAGCCTAGTTATATTCTTTTAGAGAAAACAATTTTATTGAAGGCATATGGTACGATAAAGTAAAAAAGTTTGATGCAAATAGAGTTAAACAGCCATTTGAGTAAATATCTTTTTAATATTAAATATTTTAATTACATATATTTCTTCTAATTACATATATTTCCTCTAATTACATATAATTCTTCTAGAGAAAACAATTCCATTATGCGAAATTTGATTGAAAAATGATGAAATAAAAAAGTTTGATGCAAATAGAGTTAAGCAATCATTTGAGTAAATATCTTTTTAATATTAAATATTCTAATTACATATAGATTTTAAATATATTGACAAATATACTATATAAATTAATTCTTCAAATTGCAAGAAAAACCTCTTACATATCTGCATCATATTTACATTATATAGAAAATAGAAATATGTATTGCATATAAGAAATTGCACGTAAATAATATTAAACTATTATAGTATCAATTAAAATGTTTTTAATTTAGATTTATAACAACATTTTTAATGCGATTATAAAATAAATTATTTGTAGAATGCAAGTGGAGACAGATAATTATACCCAAATAGTCTGGGCTAAAACAACAGAAATTGGTTGTGGATTTACAAGATATAAGAATAATCAATGGAATACGAACTATTTAGTTTGCAATTACGATCCAGCTGGAAATATAAGAAACGAGAGTACGTATGAAATTGCAAATTAAATAACTCTGATAGATTAGAAATGTAATAAAAGAAGCGATACTGAAGAAAACAGGAAGCTACAATATGTCAATCAAAACATGCAGTTACAACTAATAATATTAATAATAATATTAATAAAGAGTAAAATAATATTCTCTTCTTTCTTTTTATTATATCTTTTCTGTCTTTTTTCTCTTTTTAATATTTCAAATAACATTAAATTCTTCTATTATCTTTGTTATAACTTTCTAACATAAAATGAAAAATAACAATATACATAATTTTTGCTGTTTTAATGTAGAAATAAAGGTATGTAATGAATAAAGAAGTATGAATTTTTTTAAACCTTAAGATAAATTTTAATTTACAATTGCATACATAAATTTAAAGCAATGTTTTGTTTAATCTTATTATTCTAAACAAAATAAAAATAAAAATATAAGTATATTATATAATTTATGAAATCAAATTTATGAAAATCATATTTTTATAAAATATGTTGAAACCTCTTTTTGTTATTGTGTATCCTATAGACATCTATACATTAGATCATTGATTTGTTAAATACACGGATGCAAAGGATATGTTTAGAATTCATGCATGTAAAGCAAGGGGGATACTAGTGTGCATATATTGTAATATATCCATGTATATATTACATACATCAGTATGTACTGTCGAACATATATTATTATCTATCAATAGCATTTATATTTCTTGTTTCCTTTATACATATACAGAATATCAAACTGCCAAAATTGAAATTGAATTTAGGATCTCAAAAAAAAAAACAAAATTTTCCTGATTTGCTTACAAACTCTTCATTTTTAAGAGATATTTAAGACTTTTTAAGTTGTTATACTAAAGAAAAATGAATAATTTTGTTAATAGTTTTAATTATTAGTTAATAAAATATCTACTTATTATTTAATAAAAAAAATTTTTTTATTCACAAATTTTACGATTTTACAATTAGCGATATTGTTTTGTGGCTGAAAGTCAAGAACAGAGATATTCTTTCGTTTCCATCATAATTGTAAAATAGAATAAAAATAAGAAAAAGTAAAGTAGACATAAATTATGTTAAAAAGTAACACTAGAAATTTAATGATAACGATATGATTGTAAAGAATACATAAATCATTAACAAGTAACTTTCTTATCTAAGATTTTTGCGCTGTAACTACACATTTTCATCATTTTCTCCTAAAACATCTCATTTACTCGAATTGCATCCTGATCCGGCAGATCCCCTCGATTAACGGATTACACTACTCGCACCTTCTTCCGTTTACAAACTATTCATCCCCGGACAGTCCAGCCTGTCGTGATGATGATTCTGCGAGCGATTCGTAACTTTCAGGTGCGCGCAACGACGAACGTCAGCGCGTATTCATCGTCTTTGAATTGCGAATGGATACAAGCGATCCATACATCAGAAAGTCAGCGGCGCCCCGGGTGTGCCCGTGGCTTCCCGGTGAGCGCGAGAACACTCGTCCTCGCGCGAGAGAATGCGAAAGATCTCCCGATGAGGAAGCGATATCTCGCGTAAAGCAGAAGGAAAGGTGACTGGCCATTAGGGGTTCTAAACGCTTTTTAAAACCGGATTCTGGGAAAAACGTATCGAGTGTCAGACGCGCAACAATAACGCGGGCAAACATTCCGATATATACAGGCCCACCCGCGGCGTCCATCGCTGCACAAGAGAAGTGATCTGCGACATGGACAACATAACGTGCAGGTAATGTTTGGACGCGCGCAAAAGGCGAAAAGAATGAACGGCGATGGCAAAAGCGGAAGAATTTGTATTCGTTGACAGCGATTTCCTCGGAGCAACAGCTATTAGACAGAATTGAAACGATTGTAAATTCATTGGGAATTTAAGACGTAAAAGTATTACTCGCGATTGCTGATTCCAATATACGCATAAAAATTATTAATGTATATATATATATATATA